CACACACACGCACACACACAATCACACACACACACACACACACGCAATCACACACACACACACACGCAATCACACACACACAATCACACACACAATGACACACACACACACACACGCACACACACACAATCACACAAAAACACACACAATCACACACACACACAATCACACACACGACACACACACACGCACACACACACAATCACACAAACACACACACAATCACACACACAATGACACACGCACACACAATCACACGCACACACACACACATCCTTGTAAGTACCTCAGACTGAGGACCAGTAGTTCTGAGGGTCTTAGAAAGATTGAGTTTTCAAATTTTCCCACTGGGTATCACACACACACACACACACACATACACGCACACACAATAAAGTGAGGACCAGGAAAATGTCCTCACTTTAAAAAAAAGACCTCACTTTGTTGGTTAAAAACGACTTATGGTTCTCACTCTGATGCGGCAACAAGGACACACACACACACACACACACACACAATCACACTCACACACACACAAAAAACGCACACACACACACAATCACACACACACACACAATCACACAATCACACACACACTAGGCTGGTCCCGATCGGCTGGAGAAAACAGATCCAGACTCCAGATCCAGTTTTTATTTGTTTATATCCCAAATATAACTCTAGGTATTTTGTTATTTTAATATTAGTGTATTTTTGCTGAGTTACAGATGAATTTGCTTTATTTGTTTGTTAGTTTTCATGCGTTTTTCCTTTTGGTTGCTGTTCCTCTGTTGTCTTGGAGCTCCCTCATGTGGAGAGTTTGGGGTACTCCACCCCCGTCTAAGCAGCCTTGATTTTGTTTACTTTTTAATTGATTTGGGCCCAAATTTAAGTTATTTATAATTTTATGTATTTTGTCTTTGACGCTTTGTTTGCCATTTAGATATTATTAAACGGAAGTTTTTCCAATTTCTGAACACCCTTTGTCTCTTACAAAGCTAAAGGAGCTTGTTCAGGCTATTTTTGCTATTTATGAGAAATGAGTCGTTTAAAATGTTCCGATGTAAAGCTACGTTTGCATATTTAAAGAAGCTAGTGTGATTTAGGCTGGTCCCGATCGAATATCTGTATCCGATCAGCCGCCGATATTTGTAAAAAACTGCAGAGAAAATGGAGATCCAGACTCCAGATCCAGTTGTTTTTTTTAAAGTATGATCTCACGTTAGCATTAGCGTTAGCATTAGCATCTGTAACCCACAGGTCTGTGTCCTAACCATTAAGTTGTTATCAGAGTAAATCCCTGTTCAACATGAGTCTGACAACTAAGTAAGTAGATAAATAACTTTAGACTTTAACACATGCTCTGATAGGCCGGGATCGGATCGGGACATCCCTAACACACACACACACACACACACACACACACACACACACACACAC